CTCACATTTCCACGTTAGGATCTGTGTAAATCTTGTCCATTGCTGAAGGATATGCTTTTCCTATAAAATACAGCACAAAATCTAAATCCATTAATGAGCCTCACCAGGAAAACTGCATAAACCCACAGCTGGCTATTAGCTTTTGATGCTGTTTTTTCCTCTCCATCCTTCTCTCGTCACAGAAATGCTCTGAAGTACAACAGGCCTCTCAAGCCATGTTCTCCTGTTACATTGACATTAGACATATATTTCCCATTGTATACCACGTTAGAAAACAGCTGTGCTAGCAATTTAAGTATTACTGGTTTTCTGACCTTTTATTTAAATTTAAGATTCTGGTAAATGCTGGGAGATCAACAAGATCAAACCTCATCCAAGACAACGTTTGCTCTGACACATACAAGACATTTTCCCTCTCTCTCTAAACTGAATTTCTGGTATTTCAGCTTGTGCTTGTTTCTTCTTGCTCCTTCCCAGGATACAACCAGAAAAGCATGGCTCAATTCTCTTAAAACCCTCCTGAAAGGAGTAAGAAGAATGTGTTTTTACAAACTATGAGTCTGGCTAAGCCAGAGACTGGTAGATGACTTCAGCAACAGAAGAACGTCACTTATTGACACAAACTGTTGCTTATCCAAGGCGCTGCTAAATCCTGGACTTGGGGAAAAAGAACAAATATACAAAGAAAAGGAGAGGACAGGAGATGCACATTAGAAGAGGGTCTGTATCAGGCAATTCAGGAAGTCTGCATCTCTCAAGTACCTCAGCCGGTGGGGAAGGGTAAATCAGGATAAAAAGGAGGCTGCACCCCCCAGCAATTTGAGAGACCCCACGGAAAATGGCCCATGGCCTCTCCCTTTATTCATGAATAAAGCTACGGGACTCCTCTGTCTCCTTTTTAGACATAAGCCTCATGAATTAATTTTCCCAACGCAGGCAACGATTTCTTCCCAATATCCCACCTAAACCCACCCTCGGTCAGGCTGAACACACCGAGAAAGGAAGGACAGGGAAGATGGCTGTGGGAGATAAGCCTGGAGCTACAAAAGCCCTGATCACTCTGCTATTGGGGATACGAATCTGAAATTCACTTCCCAACCACCTTCCTTAACTGCTCTTCTCTAATCCTGCTTGGAAGTCCCCTACAATCCTTGAGGGCGAGCGGAGTCGCTGTGCTGATGAAGACCCCCCCCCTTTTTATTCCCTCGTGTGACTCTGCGAACACGGGAATCGCTCCACGACTCTTCAGTCCATCCCTGCCGCCCCTCCCCGGCCTTTTCCCCCTTAGGATAAGCCGATTTAATCTCTTTTTCCGTCTCTTTTTGTCCCCGCGCCGTCGCTTTACCGCCCTCACAGCCCAGGCGCCAATCACTTATCGACCACAAACGCCGCATTAATCACCTCTGCCATTAATTACGCCGCATTAGCGCGGTCCCCGGACATTAATTACCTCGGATCGATCCGATCCGCACCGCCCTTACCGGGGGGCTGCCCACACGCTCCGCGCCCACCGCAGGTGTCGCCGCCTCAGCCCTCCTTCCATCCAGCCGCTCCCGGCGCAGCGCCGACCTTCTCCCCGCGCCTTCTCCCGCGCTCCTTCCCCGCAGCGCCCGCCCCGGCCCCCGGCAGCGGCCGCCGCCGCTCCCGCGCCGCCTCTTCTCCGAGGGGGCCCCTCGGCCGCTCTTACCTCCGGCTCGGGGCCCCCCGCTCCCCAATCCCGGTTTCCGGCTCCCCGGCCCCGGTTCCCGCTCCCCGGCCGCCGCCGCCCCGTTCAAATCCAACCGCCCGCCCCGCGCCGTGACGACACGTTGGCGCCGTACAGGACGGCTCTGTGCAACATGGCGCCCCCCTGTGCCGTACAACATGGCGGCCTCCACGGGTCGCCCCGCTGCTGCCATTTCGGTGTCTCGCGCGGCCCGCACGCCCTCACCCGCCGTGATGGGGGTGGCGCGGTGCTGCACCGGCTCCGCTGGGTGCTCGGTTGCGGCGCGGAGGCTTCGCTCCGCACTGTGCCCGTGCAGGCCGCGTAACTGGCACCGCCGCGCAGGGAAGCAGCGGGCGGGAGGGGATGATGGAGGCGGTGGGCGCACTTCCTTATAAGTCCGGTGGGGGAAGAGCTCCTGTGACGAGGTGGCCGAGTGGTTAAGGCGATGGACTGCTAATCCATTGTGCTCTGCACGCGTGGGTTCGAATCCCATCCTCGTCGGAAACAATAAGTTTTCCCTCACGCCAAAAATTTTTTTCTAACACTTCCAAGGGGATTTCTCCCTCTCTCCTCTCCTTATTGGGAGAAGCAAAAGCGGAGGGCCCCCGGGACAGACACGACCCAGCATCCTGAGGGATTTAGGGTCACTAGGCAGCATACAGTGTCCCACAGATTTCAGGGGTCACAGCCAGGAGGGAATGTCATGAGGGAAGTAGGGGTCACCTTGGATAGCGTCCAGGGAACTTAGGGGTCACAGGCAGGACAGAGTGACCCGAGGGACTGAAGGGTCTCACCCAGCATCCAGCCTCCTGAGGTGCCTCGCCATGGGGGGGCCTGACTTACCTCCTTCCCTCAGAGCACGGCTCTGCCGCGGAGCTTCCAGCTGTGGCACTGGGAACAAATCCCTTCTAATCTCAGCCTCCTCTGGGATCCCAACAAAACGTCCTGTTAGGGCTGGCTGGGTCCTTTGTGAAAGCTTTGAGTAAGGATTAGAGGGATGGAAGATCTGTCCTACGAGGGAAGGCTGAGAGAGCTGGGATTGTTCAGCCTGGAAAGGAGAAGGCTCCAGGGAGCCCTCAGAGCCCCTCCCAGTGCCTAAAGGGGCTCCAAGAGCTTTGGACAATGGGGAATGGCTCCAAACTGGAAAAGAGAAGATTTAGATGGGATTTTGGGAAGAAATCCTTCCCTGTGAGGGTGAGGAGCCCCTGGCACAGGTTGCCCAGAGAAACTGAGGCTGGCCCTGGATCCCTGGAAATGTCCAAGGCCAGCTTGGATAGGGCTTGGAGCCAGCTGGGATAATGGAAGGTGTCCCTGCCCGTGGTGGGGGAGTGGGACTGGATGGGCTTTAAGGTCCCAGCCCCTCACTGAAAATGGCATCAAGTTCTCTTCAGATAATTACTGCACTTGGTTTGTCCTCCATCAAGTTATGGCACTTTAAAAAGCATAAATTAGTGTATTGACAAGATACAGGAAAACTTTTCCTCTATGCCTTTGCCATCCATGGTTCACTTAAAAAAAAAATAAAATTAAAAATCTGGAATTAGAGGCCTGGAAGTAGAACTCTGTGAAACTCAGAGCTTCCAGGGAAAGGGATATCTCCCACCTCTGCTGTGACAGCTCTGAGCCTTCCCTGCACACGCTGCCAAAGCTTTAACTACACTTAAATCCTTCTGGAAATCTGATCATACCCAGTCCTGGGCAGAGAGTGGCCAGATCACAACGGCACAGCCTCACGGAAGGTTCCCAACCACAATGGATGGGTTAAAACACAAGAGGACAAGAGTTACTGTGTGGAAGGTGAGTGTTCAGGAGCTGATTCCAGCCAGTCCTGCACAGGGACAGGCCAAGGCACAGGAAAGTTTGCCAGGAGGGTTTATTTGTTTGGAAAAGTGCTTTAGCACAGTGAGATAAGACATTCTCCTGCTAAAAACAGAATTTTAAGATCATCTAGGATCAAGTCCAAACCTAACCCAGCACTGTCAAGCCACGTCCAAGTAAAGGTGTACTAAGGAAAGGAATTCTTCCAGGACCTACACTTTGTATGGAAATGTTGTTTGACACTTTATGTCAACAACCAGGACCCAGTATTACCTCAGACCCAGTCTCAGATGGGAATTTATCACAGGGCATCTCCCAGATCAACATTTTCCCAGCTAACAAAACATCAAACACTGTTTTGACTAAAATAAAACATAAAATAAAAGAAAAAAAAATTAGAAGTATCCTTGTGAAATAAATCCTAAATCTTCATAGTTCAAAGAATCTTGGAAACAGAAGCCCAGGGGTTTCTTGACCAGGCAATTAAAATTGCCAACTGCAGCCATTATTCCAGGAAAAGAGGAAGAAGCAGTGCTGAGCTCCAGTTCCTCATGAGGCCCTTTAGCCCCAAAGTCAGGAAAATCCCTGACAGAGCCATTTTTGTAAAAGAAATTTCTTACCAAAAAACCTCCCAGCATAACCTGGGACACATCAAAGTCCAATTTAACTGTCAGCCCTAAATCTACCCCCACTCCCCTGCATCCAAATCCAGTAACAGCTCCAGCCACCCCTTTTTATACACTGGAGGTGCCCAAGTTCCATTTATTTCCATGAAAGGTGTATTCCAATGCATCAAAAATTTGGATAATGCTGATTTTTAGCACCACCTCTCTAAATATCTGGAATTAAATTAGAATTACGAAACCATTGGCAAAACATTGGAAGGACTCAAACCTGAGTGAATTTTTATGGAAATATTCAACATCAGCTGGATGATCCAGCAGAGAAAGACATCACGTGGCTCCTGTGGGCTACTGAAGCAAGCAATGGTTTATTGTGATTCGGTAGTTTTGTCCTGACCCTGGTGACATCATCAAGTGATTTTAGGAGGAAGGTAATAATTCCTGTGGGCTGGCCAACCTGAGATCTCCAAAATTAATATAGAAACCCTCCCAGATGCCAAGAATCAACTATGTAAACACTAATGAAAATAAGAACTATGGTGATATGAACAATTCATATGAAATTATATTAAAAGAAGTCTTCTTTATAAAACTGATTTTGTTTTTCTTGAAAGCTGATTGTCACACTGAAGTGATATTAAAAAATCTGGGGAACAGATCCTCCAAAACCAGGCCCAGTACCTGCACCCAGAACTAGTAACCTAAGTAATCATTTGAATGAACATTGGTAATTTCAAAGGCAAGTGGATCTTGCTGACAAACAGCAGGCACAAAACAGATCACAGTGTTCTGGTTTTACCTCACAGTGTTCTCAGGAGTAACCTTTTTGTTTTGAAATCAATCTGACAACAAGATACAATAAAATCAGGGGTTTTTTTATGACATGACATCCAGCAGCTCTTACTGTAAGACACAGGAACACAGCAGGCTGGAAGAAAAATTAGTTCTTGACTTTAGTGCATACACTTCATTATCCATGTGGATAATTGATCCAGAACCCATTGAGTTGAAGGCAAAGCTGCCTGTGCCGAGCAGAGTTTGTTCCTTGTTGCCCTCAAGTGCCAGTTCACTAAAAGGCAACATAAAACTCCTGTTTTAGCCTCGCTTCCCTGCTCATCTTTCACAGCACCTGTGGGAAGCGGGATAATTCTCCAGCCCCACCGATCCCTCCCAGCCCAGCTCAAGGCACACTTTGTTCACCTCAGCCACAATGCAAAGTCAGTCTTTGGTCTCTGCACGCCTCTGTCCCGGCCAGCAGTGTCCGCAGGGCCGGGTGTCCTGCTCACTGCTCCCAGTCCTCCATGGCCCACTCGGGCACGCTGGAGCAGTACTCAAAGTCCGCGCCCTTGTAGCGCAGGGCGTGCAGGAACATCACCAGCTCCTTGGGAGACGGGTCCCGCCTGCTCGTCCTGCACTCCACGCACAAAGGGTCCTTCTCTTCCCAACCCTTCTCCCCCGCTTGCCCATCCTGATTCCCACACAAACTGAGCTCTTTGTCTTTATCAAGCGTTTCCAGGTTGATATCAGAGTTCAGTGGACAAGCTGCTACGTCATTCCTCTCGGGATCCTTCCCGTCCTCAGCAGGGCAGGAACTCCCATTTACAGGATCAGCCTCCGCAGACTTTGTGCAGTCACCCGAATTCCCAGTGTCTTTACTTTCACCAGCGGAGTTCAAGTCCTCCTCCCCAATACCCAAGACCTCCAGGCTCTGTTTGGAACGATGCTCCTCTACCAGCGCCTTCAGCAGTTCCTCATCCGTCTTCCCGATCTTCCCGCCCTTGCCCCTGTCGGGGCCCCAGGCCTCCATGTTGTAGATGGGGTCGTTGACGATGGGGTGTCCCAGGAACTGCAGGTGGACGCGGATCTGGTGCGTGCGGCCCGTGCGCGGCAGGCACCTCACCACGCTGCTGCTGCCGTTGTAGCTGAGCCTCTGGAAGAGCGTCTGGCAGGGCTTCCCCTTGGGATCCACGCGGCACACGCCCACCTTGTAGGAAACCACCAGGATGGGCTCCTCGCAGACCACCTCGTGCTCGGGGAACTCCCCCACCACCCGGCAGACGTACTCCTTCTCCAGCTGCCGTGAGACACAGGAGGAAGGCTCAGGAAACACAGGGGAAAACACAGCCGAGCTCCAGCCCTGCTCCTCCTCCATCTCCCCTCAATAAAATACATCCCAAGGTGGTATTTTATTACAACAAGAAAGGGAAAAAAAGGCAATCAGCTACTTAAAGCTGAATTTCCCCTCACATTTTCCTCATCTAGTTGGGAAATCAAGAACAAAAAGGCCTGGTCTATTTGCCTGGTTTTAAATTCAGGAGCCATCTCCTCACAGCCTTTGGCTTACAGCACTGAAGCCAATCCTGGAAAAAGTTCTGTTTGGATCAAGAGACTCTGGAAAAATGGGAATTTTAAAATTATGAAAGTGGTGGATAGTTGACATATGCCCACTCACAAAAAAATCTCATCCCTAACTGGTTTGCATGATCCCAGTAAGTCTGCACAGTTACGTGGGACAATCCCTTGGGGAAGAAGATCCCCTTCAACCCAATATTACCAAAATAATTTAAATTTTAGGAGATCACTTTAAACCTAAAATTACCAAAATCCATTAAATTTTTGGGAGACCCTTTACAATTAAATATTACCAAATCAAACTCAATTTGTAGGAGATCCCTTTTAATCTAATATTACCAATTACCACATTGAACTAAATTTTTAGGAGATCCCTTCCAATCTGATATCAGCAAAAGCAGTTAATTTTTAGGGTTTTCAATCCAATACTATCACGCTAGGATTACCAAATTCAATTAAATTTTTAGGAGCTCCCTTCCAATCCAGTATTTCCAAACTCCATTTTCACTCTGTCTTTAGCCTACCAGGGAGGAGAAACACCAACAGATGAGAACAACAACACAACCACGACTTGTCTGGGGAGCTTGAGCTCATCTGGAGACCAAACCTGGCTGACTTCGGAGCGCAGCAGCAGCTCCAAGCCCTCACCTGCCTCTGCCGGACCTGCTCGTCGATGCGCTTGGACACGGCGGCGGTCTTGGCGAACATGAGCACGCCCGAGGTCATGCGGTCCAGGCGGTGCAGGGTGTGCAGCTCCCGCAGGCCGTGCTCCTTGCCCAGGATGAAGATGACGGTGTTGTGCCGGAACCTGCCGCAGGGGTGCACGGGCAGGGACGAGGGCTTGTCCACCACCACCACCTCCTCGTCCTCCGCCAGGATGCGGATGGGCTGGGCAGTGACCGGCGGCTCGTGCCGATGCACCGTGTTCCTGAGGAAGTCGTTGTTCTGGAAGGGGAAGGGACAGGCAGCCTGAATCCAGCCCGGGCAGCCACCCACCCGGCCACAAGCAACAGGGACTTGACATTGTGGGAGAAGAATGAAAGCCCCTTTCTCCTGGGATCCCGGACTTAGGATAACAAGTATGTGTGTCACCCCACAAATCCAACCACCTGCCCATAGGCTATTCCCATTCCTAAGGGCCAAGGAAGCCGTGGGGCACATGTGGGGCTGTAGGATCCACACATTCCCGAATCCAGCGGGGCAGCGATTCCCCGGGAGCCCCCGATTTCCCCTGCAACCCCTCCACAGAACGGTAAAATACGTCGAACTGAAAGGAACCCATCACGATTACCGAGTCCAGCTCCCGGCCCTGTGTTATCCTATGCTCACGGCTTGGGGCAGGCCGGGCTCTGCCACCAGCCCAGGATCCCGGGGAGCGCCCACCTTGAGCACGATGTCCAGGTCGCGCACGGGCTCCTCGTTGAGGCGCAGGCGGCCGGCGCGGGCGGCGGCGCGGTAATAGGCGAGGGGCTGCGCTCGGAACTCGGTGCCGAAGACGTGCAGGAGGCTGCGGCCCACCCAGCGCCCCTTGCAGTAGGTGCGGAAGTCGAAGTAGTAGGGGCGCACCTTGCGCAGGCCGCCCTCGAAGTAGTACGAGGTCTCGGCGAAGTGCTCGGCGCCGAAGCTCACGCCGGGGTTCAGCTTCCGCGGCGGCGGCACGTACCGCTCGCCGCCGGCCAGACGCCGCTTCTTGGGGGCCGGCGCCGCCTCCTCGTCGCCGGCGGGGCCCGGCTGCTCCTGCCGGGCTCGGCCGGCTCCCGGCTCGGCCATGTCCCCGCGGGGCGGC